TATTAAAAATATTGTAAACACATTTTAATTTTGAATCTCCCAACATCTTTAAATAGTTTTCTGTACTTTATTATAACCAATATTTCTGATCTAATGATTTTATTCTTCATTCACATGAACAAAAACCATTTATATTGTTTAATTAATATTATGCAACAAATTACATTTAAAATTTTGCGCCATAAAATCTTATAGTAGTGCTGCACTCTACTGGTCAAGTTTGGCTGTGAGGATCCCCATTGTAATACTTCATGAAGTCTTTAATATTGTTAATAATATTAACATAAATAGAGGAATAAAAAGAGATAAAAGTACATAGGTATAAAAAGAGATAGATAGGGGATTATCTATATTAATAAAATCAGACTTTTGTCTGTACATTGCACGAAATTAATTTTTTCTAGCATAATTTACTTATTTGAACAACGGAGAATCCAAAAATGGTAATAGAAAATTTCCTGTGTGTATGTATGTATGTATGTGTGTATGTATGTATGTATGTATGTATGTCCGCAAAATTTTGTTCGCGTATAACTTGAAAACGTTTTGACCGATTAAAGTAAAATTTGGCAATCTTTTAGGTATTGGTCTGACTTAAAATATTAGCTATATTTGATGAAAAAATATTGAGATGAACAAAAGTTATAAATTTTTCAAAAAATTAAAAAAAATTTTTTTTTTATTTTTGCAGATTGGCATAAATTTTTTAATTTATTAATAATATAAATGATTTTAAAGATATATAACAATAAATTGAATTAAAAAATAATATTAATATAAAAAAAATTATAAATTTTCCAAAAAATTCGAAATTTTTTTTTTAATTTTGCCAGATTGCTGTAAATTAATCAGTTATGACTTTTGTAAAATATATATAAACAATTAATTTACAGATTTTAAACTTATTTGTTAGAATGGGAGGTATTCAATTTTTTCAGAAAATTAAAAAAATGGAAAATTTCCAAATTTTATATTTTTTAATGTATATCTTTTAAACTTTTTGTAATTAAATATTGCATGTTATTTAGTCATATTTTAGCATAACTTTGAAAAAAAACTGTCCTATAACTATAAGATGAAAGTATGTATAAAAATGTTTTTAATCAAAAAATTGAAAAATTATAATTGAGAGTAATTGTACTATCAAGATTAATTCAGTAGTATTTTTGGGGTCTCTGATAAACTTTTGACGTCAAAATAATGGAATTTAGATTTATTTGTTTATTTAATTAATAAAAAATTTTCAATTGCAAAAACTTCGAAAATATTAAAAATGGAGATTTTTTATGATAAAATTGATACTGCAGGAATTCAAGAATACCTGTGATACGATACTTGCATTATGATACTGGGAAAAAACTTAGATAGTAAAAAGTTATGTTATTTTAACTCTAGATTTAACTTTTAGGGATGTTTTGAGCATTGTAAAGGCAAAAGTTAAACAGGGTGTCTATTATTACTTTTGTTTAACAAACTATCCGGTTTTCCCAGCTTTGTCCAAATTTTTACAGGTGTATCTTTTCTCATCAAATATAAATCTTGATAAGTATTAACAATAAATAAAACTACAAATGGCTACAAAAATTCACTTATTTTATGAAAATACTCTTCGACGGGTTTTTGTTTTTACTAACACTTTTAACAGGGGTTCTACCAACTGGAAAAACGGAAAATATGCAGGAATTTAATTTAATTGGGAAAAACTGTGAATTCAGCCTGCAATATAGGTCTTATTTTAGATTTTAGCAAAAACTGGTGAAAATTTTCGATTAACTTATAATACAATAATTAAATTTCTACAAATAATTGACAAACATTGTTCTCTGCATTTTAATTAATTAAAAACAAATTATTTGATGATAAAAAGTCAATCACTGATTTAAAATATGTAGTTATATTTTTCTAATGAAATAGTTAATGGTAGCTAATTATTATTTTTTCCTGTCAAATTAAATTCCCCTCTATTTTCCATTTTTCGAGACTGGTAGACACACTATTGAATGTATTTGTAGAAACTAAAACCTGTCGAAGACGGGTATGACAGCTAGTAGGGAATAAAAAGAGATAGAAATTTGGAGATAAAAAGGTATAATATTTCGGGTATGCAAAGTGGCTATTTCAAAGGGATAGAAAAAACTTTATCTCTTTCTATCCCCAAAATTCTATCTCTTTCTATCTTTTTACTTCCAGTAGGGAATTAATACTTTTTTTCATCGATTTAAAAATAGTGTTCAAAATTGCAGGTTGACTCACTTTACGGTTTGCAGGTCCAAAATGCGAATCCGCAATGATAATTTAGAGTAAATTTACACGATTTCCGAAATTTAATTTTTTTCACATATTTTGCTTTTCATTCGATTTTCAAATGAAAAAAAAAATTTATTTTTCAAAAATATTTTTTGTTTAAAAAAAATTTTATTTATTAATAAATTATTTAAAAAAATTTTATTTAAATTATTATGTTCAGAAACATTAAATGTAAGTGAAATTTAATAAATTTATTGGAGTTGTTACATATTATCAATTTTTCAAGGTGGGTCAACCTGCAAGCCTAATAAATTTCGGAACGTTAATTTTACATCATTTTTAAAAATTGATGTAAAAATTTTATTGTTTGCCAATTTAAATTATCTATGGGTAAAATTTGTAGCTTCTTAGGTCCTCTTTCCGATGGTATGTTCATATAAATTATTATTATTTTTTAATGAGTTATGAGCAAAAAAGCTTATAGGTATGGCAACCTGCAAGCCTTTCCCCTACTGAAAATACTAAATTTAAAAAAATTAAAAGCTAATATTAACTAATTCTTCATGCCAAGAATAAGATTTTACTCTGTAGTTGAGCAATTCCATGGTAATGCTCGTTTGTTTAATGTATTAGCTTGAAATGTGACCCACAGCATTGAAAAATTTTATTTATTTCTCGGAAAGTTATGCAGATCCCATTTTGAAACTCACAGAGCACTTAGAGGTAAGGGATCGTCCATATATTACGTTACACATTTTGGGGGGAGGGGGGGGTCAAGCTATTTGTTACGATAAGCAAAAAAAAATGGCGCTCATAGGTATGTTTTCGTTGCCTGCACTAAGTGTAAATTTTACACCACCTCAAGAGTAGGTGCAGAAAGTGTAGCGAAATGTATGGAAAAATTATGTCACATCCGGCAAAGAGAACAGCATAGTGGAGGTTAGGTGTTAAAGTGTAAGAAGTGCAGGCAACGAGAACATACCTACTTAATGTATGTTACAGTGTGTTACATGGGGGGAGGGGGGGTCAAAATTTTCGGGCAGTGTCCGAGATAGTCCCGTGAGAGGAAGCAGCTTATCCCCACCATGCGGCACACCAAGTCGAAACTGAGTCCCGAGCAACCCTCACAGCGGGGGTATATGACTTTTTCTATAAAAATATAAATTTGTTAAATAGTAACAGTTTTAATTTTTCATTGACATATTTAAATTCCTTACTTTCTCACGATTTCATACATATGTTGTTTACCAAAAAAAGTTAAAATTAAAAAATTAAGTTAAATGGTATATGCTTCAAATAATGCAATTATTGGGTCAAATAGCATTAAATTGATTTAGATAAAACCTAAGTGATACAGTAAATATTTATTTGATAATAGGTAAGGTTTTTGGTAGAGTTAACTTCATTCTATGTATCTGAAAAAAATGACAAATTTTTTTAATTTTAACTTTTTTTTGATAAACAACATATGTATGAAATCGTGAGAAAGTAAGGAATTTAAATATGTCAATGAAAAATTAAAAATGTTACTATTTAACAAATTTATATTTCTATAGAAAAGTCATTAACAGTTTTCCTTAATGAGGGTTTGAGGGTCCGAGCGCCCCCGCTGTGAGGGTTGCTCGGACGGCCCCTAAGTAAAAAAAAAAAAAAGAAAAAAAATTAACCAAAATAAAAGTGGAGTTTTTTCGAAATTTTGGATTTGTAACTGTATAGTGCAGGCGCTGGGGGAAGTTGAGTATGCAAAACCCGAGGACCAAGATTTTTTGATTGATTCATACAGATGAAGTCCTACCATATATGAAAACCCATGTTGCCGGAAAAAATTGTGGTAACTTTGGCCGCCATATTGATTTTAAGGGTGAAATTTGTTTTTCAATATATTGCAGTAAATAACAATTGGACAAAATTTTTGTAGAAACATTTTTTGTAGATATTAATAATATCTATAACTTTCATTAAAAACTTTTTTTCCTATTTGTAACAATACAAAAGTTATAAACAAAAGAATTATTAAAATTAAGGGATGCAAATTTTGAAAATTAATTTACTTTTAATTTTACATTTTACAAAAAAAACTCATCAGAGACAATTTAAAGGAAATTTTCTAACGAATAATTTGAGTGGTCACAATAAAAGATTGCGTTAAATTTATTGACCTTGGATGACGGCAAAGACGGCGGAGTATGGCCAATCCTGGCTTTCAAGATCCACGCGTAAGACGAAATTGTCGCTGTAATGAAATGGAAAACCCGAGGACCAAGATTTTTTGATTGATTTATGTAGATGAAGTCCTACCATATATGAAAACCCATGTTACCGGAAAAAATTGTAGTAACTTTGGCCGCCATATTGATTTTAAGGGTGAAATTTGTTTTTCAATATATTGCAGTAAATAACAATTGGACAACATTTTTGTAGAAACATTTTTTGTAGATATTAATAATATCTATAACTTTCATTAAAAACTTTTTTTCCTATTTGTAACAACACAAAAGTTATAAACAAAAGAATTATTAAAATTAAGGGATGCAAATTTTCAAGATCCACGCGTAAGGCTAAATTGTCGCTATAATGTAATGGAAAAGTGAAATGAGTGTTGAAAAGTTTAAAGTATGATAACAATTGAATAAATAATTATTGTTTAAAACAATCTTTATAAACAATTTCATAAACAAACTTTGTAATTACTATTGGAATTTTTTTTATAAATGATGTTTTATTCTGAAACATGTCAAATAGAATACAAGTAATTCAACATTTGGAAATAACAATTTTTTTAATAAACAAATGTATATTTGAAGAAATATTTAGCGTTCTGTAGAATAAGTGGAAATTGCATTATCTACATGTTATTATTTAAATTGTTACAATCACTGTTTACACATTTACATAGTGAAATACATACTAAGCCTGACTTTTTACAACTACAGGACATTGTTTTACAGTTAGAATAGCATTTACATGGTTTAATTAACAATTCCGGAAGAGACGGTTTCGTCATTTGTATCGGATATAAATTAGAATCCCGTAATTCATACCCGAATTGAAGAAAGTCAATTGGTTCAATTAGAGGTTGGAATGCATTTTTCCATAGATATGTTTGTGCGGAAGCTCTCAAACAATGTAAATATAAGGCATTAGATGTGCATATTATTCTAGATAAATTTAAACCAAAACCAATATTTTGAGAAATTAGTTTGTGTCGAATTTCATCAGCTGTTATTTCTTTTTGTGAATATAAATAAGTGCATACTTTCTCTACGTTTGAAAATTTTTCAAAATCTAGAAATTCATCCCCAAAATTTAAAAGTCTTGCCTGAATAAAGTCTAATGTTGCAGATTTTAAGCAATTTTTCTTATTACCCAGTCGACTAGTAGTGTCACAACCAGTTAAAGAATGTAAAGCTGGTAAAATTTTGGAAACGTTATCACCAAGGGATTCGGCTGCTAAATGACATCCTAGATAACGTTTCTTTTTCTGTGATCCTTCAAACCACAGACCTTGACAACCTATTATATAAAGCTTTTGCCAAAAATAAATTCCTAAGATAAAAACATCCGTATCGGCGCTAAGAATAATGATATGAGCATTCTGAGTGTCTGCTGCATGAAATATATGAGAAAACATTCTTGAATCTGCCTCTAAGTGATTTGATTTTAATGCAAAAATTTCGGAAATAGAATTACTTTGCAACTTATAACATTTAGTCGGGTCGTCAAACCCACCGGAAATGTACAATTCACGATTTTCCTGAATTTTTACTTCCTTTAAAGCATACTTACATAGAAATTTAACTAACTGCAATTTATTTTCAGAACTTGCAAAAAAAGATTTTGTATCAACTGGAATTTTCGTAGAATTATTTAAAATAATCATTTTCTTTACATGTTGTCCCTTGCTTCGTAATTCTGATTCCAAAAATTTTATTGATAAATTATCGTACCTATCGAACACAACATCAATTCTGTTAACATCAGGTGAGTGCAATAAAAGGATTGTTGAGAAATATGCTTGAGCGAAATCACCAAATGAAATGAATTTTTTTAACTGAATTTTATGAACTAGTGACATACCATCGACTATATAGATCTTTGACGAATTTAAAGACGAAATGTTTGACAACGATTCTATTGCACAGTTATGATTGTTTTCTATCTCTAGAGCAAGTGTCGCTTTTGGAGATTTCCTATATAATCCATCTTCTGTGAACAAATACTTACAATAATCTAAAATTTCATACGACGATAGAATTTTCCTGTCAAATCCTCGCTGTGATGCTAACATAAATGATTGTTGAACGTTCGTAATGTCCTTAGAGTCAGTCAGTTTTTTATTGTCAGTAGTTGCAGCTTTTTGTTTTGAATTATAAGTGAAATTGTGGAATGGAACTCTTTTTAAAGGGTCAAACACACTTTTCGTTTTAAACTGAAATCTTTCACTCTCGAATTGCTTAATTAGGGATTCTCCATCTTCTTTCAAAGACAACAAGCATTTCGTTGATTCCTCTGCAATGGCTCCAGTGTAAATATTGTGAAGGCCGCACTCTTCAGTGGTCTGTAAATAAATGAATGAATAAATAAATAAATAAATATATTCCTATTTTGAAATATAATAAAAAGATAATATATTACCTGAAATATATTGCATTCTTTCAGGCACGTGATTAAATTTTTAATATCCATTTCATCTTTATCCATTCTTGATTGCGACCATTCACTGTGGAAATTGGAATGAATGTCACCTGCTGCATCAGATTGCATGCCAAGATATGACAATAAGGCGGAGTGAATTGAGTTTTTTACTGGATATAAAAGCAGCCATCGTTGCATTGCATCTTTGCTTTGGGTGATACCAATTAAACCCCCAGATACTGCTGATGATCGATTTTGGGTTTGTTCCAGTGCTAAGTCGCATCCTACAGCATTAAATTTTCCATCTCCTCGTTTGACGGACATCATACCTCTTTTCAATTCATATACCATTTCCGTCGGCAGTTTCATCATGTCTTGCAAATATAATGTTACTCCACGAACATAATTTGTATGGTTCATTGAAAAAAGAAACGGCAACATTTCTCTTGTACTTTGTAGATGTAAGTCAAAGTCCCCGAGTCTATCTGCAGCAATAGAATTTAAAAGAATTTCAACCATTTGACAGTAGTTGTTTAAATAGCAGAATGTTTCATTTTCGATGCTCTTTCTGTTCAAAAAATCCAAAAACTTTAAGAAGAAATTCTCTATTGTCCTTTCAAATTTGGTATATTTATCAATTACACTTGAGTGGTCTTTATCAACAGTGCGTTCCCTTATTTCCTGAAGACACATATTTAAATATTTTAACTCATCTTCTGAAAAGCCTGATTTATCAATAAATTCAAAAAATTGAAAACTTCTTAGAGATTCATAAATGAGCTTGTGAGCTCTGATCCCCCTATTGTATTGGGTACCACTTAAAATTGTTGATAAGGTATTGGTACCATAGATATTTGCTTCGATAAGAATATTATCAAGACCACTTCCTTCGATAAATTGGCCTGAAAAATTAAAATAACTGTTAAAGTATTGGTACTATATATGATTATTTCATTTAAAAAAAATTTAGTCGATTTAATTAATCTGTTAGGTATTTACATATTAGACAATTAAATTTTTAATTGAACCAAAAAAATTTTATTTGCATCAATTAATTTATTTAATCAAAATTTATTCAATCAAATAAAATTTTGTTTTCATTGTTCAATAAGAATACAGTAAAACCTTGTTAACACGAAATTCTCTATACCACGAACCAAAAATTTTCCACGGCATAATTACATTGGCTAGTATAGTATAGTTCCCTCATTAACTCCCCGTACCGATTCGTGTTAACGAGGTTTTACTGTATTATTAAACATATAGTTTCTACGATATACTAACCTAGACATCGTAAGAAATTTTTCTGCAAATGAAAAGTTCCAATCCTTAATGTGAGACCTTGAAATTCATTACTTCTTAATTGTATATCTTTAGCAATAAGATATATAGCCATATCGCACGATAGAACAGCTGCGGATTTTTCCAAAGAAAGATACATCTTGACAAAGTTTGTCATGGCGGTGTACACAACATCTTTGGAAGTAGGAGGATGCGGAATCACAGGACAAAATCCAACAGTAGATATAGGTAAATATTGAGTTGTTAAAAGTTGTTGAAAAGAAGTCCATCCTGGTATTGCATTGACTGATGGCCTGAAAAAGTCGTTTTCCAATGCATAGTACTGCAATCTGCATAAAATCCATAAGAAATTGATTTTTTGAATATTGTTCTGGCTGCAAGGTAATAGACAACTGCTTTCTACATAATTTAACACTGATAGATTTTCAATTGGTTTGTAATAAAGAACGTCTTGACAATTCAAACTTTTAAAATTCAGATTGACCTGTTTATCTGTAGGCTTTGTTGTTACCAAAGGGATGTTATTTTCTTCAAAACTTTCTTCTTGGTATATGACCATGGCAGTCACATGTGTAGAACCTTGTCCACTCAATGTTTCTTCATTAAAGTCATTATTGTCTATTGCCCCATGAAGAAACAACGATGGATCTTTTAGTATGTTTTTGGGTATTAGAATTTGTTGCTTATTATCTTCGCTCAAAATTGAACTAGTTAATTCAAAATCAATATTTTTTAATGATTTGTAACTAATACAATGGCCTAACTTGTTTAGCACAGTTATTAAATGTTTTGACCTACTGAGATGGTGGATAGATTGAGCAACAGCTATGTGTTTGGGTGTCTGCTTATCAGTTACAGTAAAAAAAATATCTGAAAATACTGAATAGGCTCTTCGATAAGTGCTCTCTCCTAATGTCTGGTTTTTTGAACTGAACAATGCTTGTAAAAATATTTTCCAAATCGATGGTAATTTTTCTTCCGCAAACAACTTTTCAAGCAAAACTTCATCACATAAATAATCATCTGGAATAAGCGTAGTTTTCAACAATTCTTTCCTAAGTTCTTTTGCACATGTAACAATATGATTTTCTGAATTAAGTTCACGAACACGTTCAACCACTTCTACTAATGGGACATTAGACATAAACAAAGTAGAAGATTTTGATTTATCAGACGGATATGAGAACAAAACTTTGTCTCCATATTTATTAATGAAAAGTGATTTAACGTCTCGATTTTCAATTGTCGCATTTTCAATTTCAGTGAGTTCAGATAGCCGTATAGCCAAATAAGATAATTCAAATGAAGTTGTTGAAAACTGGTCTTTCATTTCATCGATTAGCTTGTCAAAAGCACAATTTAAAATATCTTCAGGTACTTTCGTTGACGGTCGACCTTCCTTGTTGCTTGAAGATTTTGGTATTCTGATATATTCTTTATAACAATTTTTGTGGTACTTAACTTTTCTAGCAAATAAGTCCTCAGGTGTCGAACAAGAGCTGATTTCCAAAAAAATGTGATCCTTCTTTTTGAGTGCAATGTCAAATATCTTCTTTGCCGAAGCAATTTCCGAGCATAAAATAAGTCTCTTATCTTTATTTTTTGTAACACAATTACATATAAAACAATTCACTTTTTCTTCATTTTCACCAGAAACTATAAAAGGTTCATTATTGTTAATCACCACATTTAAGTCAACATGAGAAGTACTGTCAGATTGTTCGTTGTACAAAAATATTTCGCGACGTCGTATTTTCTCTTCACTAACATACGTAGCCATGCAATTTCTGTGCCACGAAAAACACTGTGTTGTAGAATATGGATTGTAAAATTTAAGAAATTTCTCGTTGATCTCATCTTTTCGTCTATTTCCTGCATTTTTTATGGTAGTAAAAGACTCTTTTCTTGGTTCCTTCACTAAGTTAACTGTTGAATCGCAAAACAAACACACAATTTCACTAGGCTTTTTTCTTTTTAAAGTAGTAATTTGTAACGACATATTTCACACTAAAATTTAATATCGAAAAAAAACATATTACCACGGGAAACAGTTTTTCTATAAATGAAAATAATCACGCAGCAAGGAAAAACTCCAAACGAACGTTCCGATGCAGACGGTACTGCATTAGGTACTGATTCTGATAAATGTGCAATTGTGCATAGATACTTCAGTTAAAAGTTTTGTAATTAGAAAATCATTAAGAAAATTTAATGACTGGCGCCAGAGAATCATTAGTTGTCGCAAAAGATAAAATTTTCGTTTTCAGAGAATCACATGAATGAAAACAATTTATTTATGAAATATAATTAGAAAGATTTTAATTATATATTTCTGTAAAACAATGTCCTGTAGTTGTAAAAAGTCAGGCTTAGTATGTAGCACTATGTAAATGTGTAAACAGTGATTGTAACAATTTAAATAATAACATGTAAATAATGCAATTTCCACTTATTCTACAGAACGCTAAATATTTCTTCAAATATACATTTGTTTATTAAAAAAATTGTTATTTCCAAATGTTGAATTACTTGTATTCTATTTGACATGTTTCAGAATAAAATATCATTTATAAAAAAAATTCCAATAGTAATTACAAAGTTTGTTTATGAAATTGTTTATAAAGATTGTTTTAAACAATAATTATTTATTCAATTGTTATCATACTTTAAACTTTTCAACACTCATTTCACTTTTCCATTACATTATAGCGACAATTTAGCCTTACGCGTGGATCTTGAAAATTTGCATCCCTTAATTTTAATAATTCTTTTGTTTATAACTTTTGTGTTGTTACAAATAGGAAAAAAAGTTTTTAATGAAAGTTATAGATATTATTAATATCTACAAAAAATGTTTCTACAAAAATTTTGTCCAATTGTTATTTACTGCAATATATTGAAAAACAAATTTCACCCTTAAAATCAATATGGCGGCCAAAGTTACTACAATTTTTTCCGGTAACATGGGTTTTCATATATGGTAGGACTTCATCTACATAAATCAATCAAAAAATCTTGGTCCTCGGGTTTTCTATTTCATTACAGCGACAATTTCGTCTTACGCGTGGATCTTGAAAGCCAGGATTGGCCATACTCCGCCGTCTTTGCCGTCATCCAAGGTCAATAAAGTTAACGCAATCTTTTATTGTGACCACTCAAATTATTCGTTAGAAAATTTCCTTTAAATTGTCTCTGATGAGTTTTTTTTGTAAAATGTAAAATTAAAAGTAAATTAATTTTCAAAATTTGCATCCCTTAATTTTAATAATTCTTTTGTTTATAACTTTTGTATTGTTACAAATAGGAAAAAAAGTTTTTAATGAAAGTTATAGATATTATTAATATCTACAAAAAATGTTTCTACAAAAATTTTGTCCAATTGTTATTTACTGCAATATATTGAAAAACAAATTTCACCCTTAAAATCAATATGGCGGCCAAAGTTACCACAATTTTTTCCGGCAACATGGGTTTTCATATATGGTAGGACTTCATCTATATGAATCAATCAAAAAATCTTGGTCCTCGGGTTTTGCATACTCAACTTCCCCCAGCGCCTGCACTAGTAGACATATTTTCAGTAGCTTATGAGTCTGAAAATATTGAGTTTACAAAAAACTTGTCAAAGAATGAAAGTTTTAGTTTTCTTTCGACTTTTAAGAAATGTAGGGGAGAGTCTCCAGTTGTGAGACGGGTTTTATTTTTGACCCGTAAATTGTAAACGGGTAAACGAAATTGTAAATAAAATACACCGTTCGAAAGGTAACAGAAATACGCAACTTTTATTAAAAGAAAGTGTAGTGTTTCGATAAACTCAAAAAATGTTACGATACATTTTCCGAGCACATCGCTTTTTTCAAAAAAAAAAAATGTCTCCAGTTGTGAGACACTCATTAAAAATTGCTAAAATTTAATAAGTTTGACATAAAACGTTATGTTTAGTAGAAATAATTAAATATATTAATAATATATATTATTATACACTAAATAATAATATTTATTCGCCAAAATACGACTATCAAAAAAATACAATTTAATAGCTTCAACAAGAGCATTAAAATTGATTTCTTCTGAATCAATTGACTTTTTTCCACTTGACATGCCCAAAAATACTAGAAAAAAAATCAAAACAACATTTAAATAGTATGCCTGCAAAGTCGTATTTTTTATGCTGCCCAGATGGGTGTTGACACCGTCTCACAACTGGTGATATGCTGTGTCTCACACCCAGAAATTGGCGCTATTTTGAAAAAGGAAAATTAAATTATTCTCAACCGTAGATTGGAACAATGCAATATTGCATCACAAAATATAAGGAAAACACTAAAAGAAAATGCATTACATTTACCTTTTCCAATTAATTAACTTGGAAAAAAAGTACTTTGCATTTATTGAAAAAACGCTTTTTAGTCGATTATCACACACAGTGTTGGTATTTAACAAAAACAGTTTATATATCCGCTTCGGCGTACACGAAATAGTTGGCTCATATAAAAAGAAATGTTTTTATATAAACCAATCGGCTTTTTAATATTGCATGTTAAAAAAAATTGACTGTCTCACAACTGGAGGTGTCTCACAACTGGAGACTCTCCCCTAAAAAAAAAATTTTTATAAACAATAAATTAATTTTTTTTGGAGTGGGCCGACGCGTTTAATGAGTTTTACAAAATTTTCAAACGCCGCACAATGGGATTTTTTTACAATTTACTTCTCAAAAATGTCTACAGACTACAATTTTTAATCGATTTGAGTGTTTTTTGTTTTAAATAAAAGGAGAATAATTTCTCAAGATATCCCTCCATGCAAACCTAAGAATATTCAATTGTTCATCATTTTTTTTACAAACAAAAAGTTAACAAATTAATTGTGTACTTTCCTTTAAAAATGAAAGATTATTTTCTTATTTCGTTACTACACATGTCCTAAATCAGTTTCAATTAATATAATATATGACCTCCTGATAAATAGTAAATCATAAAATAATTTATCTAAACTGTTATAAACAATATTACATGTCCTAAATCAGTTTCAATTAATATAATATATGACCTCCAGATACATAGTGAATCATAAAATAATTTATCTAAACTGTTATAAACAATATTAGTTAACAAATAGTTAACTTTGGTTCTTCTCCATCAAAAAACTTTGTTTTTTCATATTTATATTGTACTTTAGGTTCATTTGATGAATTTATCTCCCTTTTGTTAAAATAATTTTTAATAGTTATAAACAATAATAGTTAACAAATAATGAACTTTGTTTCCTCTGCACCAAAAAGAATTTTTTTGTAGTTTTCATTGAAGTTTATTGGAAAGAATATATGTTAAAATAAAACAATAAACATTTTAATATAAATATATATTAATTGTATTTATTTTATTTTAATTAATTTTTTTATTTTAATTTTCAAAACCACAAGGAAAGAAAATACTCGAGAAAATAAAAAAAAACATTTATATAAATATATATTAAATTGTTTGTAATTATTAAACAAATTATTTCATATATTCACTATTTTTTTAACCCATTAACGCCCAAATGACAAAAATTTTTACTTGGACTTCAATACACGATTTAAAGTATTTTTAGACAATAAATTTTAGCAGCAATGAGATGTAGGGGGTTTTGGGAGTCGCTCTTTCAAATTCTCCCGTGTAGAAATTTAACCATGTCCCAAATCGGGGCCAGATCTTTTAATCATTGTGTAGGCCATAACATGGCATGAAACACCTTCCCAGATCGGGCCCAAATCTGGCCAGACTTGGGCCCGATCTGGGAAGGTGTTTCATGCCATGTTATGGCCTAGATATGGCAATTTCTACACGGGCTGGGGTCAAAATAGCGATTCGATCAACACAAAATCCAATATGGTGGCTAATTTGAAAAAAAACTCAAAAAAATAAGTACATTTTTTAAATATTTTTTTTCAGATCTAAAAAAATTTTTTAAACCTTTCTTAAGTATGCACGGAAAGAAATCTGCTAGATAAAATACTATTGGGCGGCCAATAGACTTATTCTATCGGACCCCCACTACTACTTTTCAGGCGAGTAGATGCCCAGGTGCGAATTTAGATTGGCCGCCAGAGTTTGAAGGTTGGCCCAAGGTTGGCCGAACTTTGGCAAGCGAAGTTTTGGTACTAGTGCCCACAGTTGGCCCGACTTTGCAAGCCAACCATTACGTGCAGAGTTTAACCAACCGTCGGGACAACTTTGGCGACAAAGGTTGGCACAACTCATCCAAACGTAGTTTAAAAGACTTTCAGTTTCGGTCGGCCGAACTCTGGGCTACGGTTGGCCCGACTGTTGCAGCTTTAATATACATTTAACGGTATGTACTCCCATATGAGCGCAGCGTAGTGGTCAGTGTATAAGTCTTCGGTGCGTTAGGTTAGGGGTTCGATCCCAGCGAGCGTTAGATATTTTCGAAAATGTATGTATGAGATTGTGTTTAATAATAATAGGTAAAGGTTATATCTGATGTTCCCGCTAATAATAACGTGTTAATTGTTTAAATAATGTAGTTTTTTAATAATTTTTTACCTTTGGCTGTTGAAGTTGGCCAAACTTTGAAAATTGTGGTTGGCCCAACTTACGCATCTAAAGTTGTGCCAACTTTGGCCTCAGTCTTTGGACCAACCATTGAAATGTATAGTTGGCACAACATATGCATTGTAAGTTGGGCCAACTTCCTTATGAGTTGTCAGGCCAACCATCGTCGCCATTAGACGGCGACCGTTATCATCTGTATGGTTGGCCCAACCTCTGGCACGAGAAGTTGGACCGACTTTGTAAAAGTTGGCCCAACTATGGGCCGACCAAAAAATCACACCTGGGTGCTATTAGTCCATCGCTGCATGGTATTATTCTACGCAGAGATGTACTAATTCCATCTACTCGGCCTGAAAAGTAGTGGTGGCGTCAGATGGCATAAGTCTATTGGCCGCCCAATGGTATAATACTAGCAGATTTCTTTCCGTGTGCTATTGGTAGGCAAAATAGTTGTACTTTCAAAATAAAAAATAGAGAAATTCTGATTTCAAGATGGCGGAATCAAAATTTTGAAGAAGTAAATGCATTATAGTCAAAAACATCAA